CGAGCTTCCCTGCAACCCCGTGCTTCCCTGAAGCCTCGTGCTGACCGAACCTGACATTTTGTTCTTAATCTTCCAAATGTGCCTGCTAGCCTAAAGGATGAAGTGCTGCTCTTTATGGTGAATGTGACCATGGAAATCATTCTCCTTAGATAGTTTTCTTTAAATTGGACATATTTCTGATAGAATTAGGAAAAAGGGGGGAAATCAGCTTGAGGGAAAACTGGCAGTAATGAAATGGCACAGTGGAGAAAGAGTGAGTGCATACCTTTCACACAATAGCCTTACTTAACTGTACACTTATAATATTCATTCATTTGTTGGATTTATATCTAGGAGGTCAAGTAGACAGATAGATGGAAAGAGTACTCCCTCTTCCCATTTTTTCCCCTGACATCCTTATGAGTTAGGTTGGAGGTACTAATTGTTAGTTAAGAGATACTAATTGGCCTAAAGTCACCTAGCAGAAGAGTCAGGTTAGATCAGAATAAGCAAATAGCTTGTCCACCATTCCCTTCCCATTTAGTTGATAGTCTTATCTTCTACTAATTTATCTATTCACCTTTCAAAATGGTCTGTGTTGGTGGCTGTCATAGCATTTTGTGATATGAATGCTATAAATTAATTATGTAGACCCCCTTTGTGCATTGAGGCTTACTCCCAGAACAATATGGCTGTTCTTCCTCCTAACTACAACAAGAACAAGCTCTGGCAGCCTCTTGCTTTGGATGTTTCTCCATGAGGTTGCCTTTATCTTATTCCCAACCCCTACCTGAAGCAACTTAAAGTCCTCCTTAACTGTTCTGGTGGTAATGTTTTCTACCTTAAGGAGTCAACAACTGCCGCAGTTTTGTCCTATGTATAATCTGTGGGACCCACCATGTAGTTTGTGATAATAGCAGAGGACATCTATGGTGTGGGATCAGCCTGGCATTTATTAGCCACTTTAGGTTTATGCTGGCATGAACCTGCCTGTCCAGTTCTCAGGCACCATCCTTCAGGGCTATTCTACTTTGAAGAGCAGGAAAGTTCATTTCTTTCAAACTGTACTCTCTCCTTTCACCAACCAAGTCTCCAAACTGATCCCTGGATTAGAAACCTGGATCAGCACAGATAGCAGCTGCCTAGGGGTTGTGAAGGGTAAGCTATGCAGTGAAGTGGGAAAAAGTGAGTCTGCTGATGCAACCCTCCCACTGTCAGCTGTTATTCAGACTGATTTTGAACATAGGTTGAATGCTGTCCTAGAAGAATGACAAATCCATGTTCAAAAGCAATCTTAACAATGGCTGACAGGCTGGTGAGGGCTTCGTGGTGAAGAGGCAGACACACACACGCAGAGGTGACTTGTACATCCTCAACCCTGCCTGTCAGTGGCTGTTCAGGCTGTCAGCTACTTGGGCTTATCCAGAGCTTGGGCTGTCTCAGAGATCTGATGGGAAGAGTCTCTTCTCCCCTTCCATCTGCCACATTCTGAGCCCAGGTAGCTGATCCCCAGGATAGGTGTCAGGTGAAGGGGAATGATTTTCTAGGATGGATAAAGTCACAGGTCTTGCCATCTGTCAAAATCACTGATAGTCACAGCAGTGCTGTGATTGGTGGATAGCTCTCCTGCCAGCTGGAGATGTTGGAGCAGGACATCTTCCCTGGACAGAAAATGAGAACACCCTTCTCCAGTTACACACCAGAACAGAAACGATTGGGATTGGCAGTAGGGACAGTGCTGGTTTAGTTTTCTCCTGGTCCACATGTGACAGGGGAGTATGTAACTGAACTATGGGGGGAAACCCTAAACTTTTTTTTTCTATATTTTTACTTTGATGGAATTGATTTACAATTTGTTTACAATATCAGTTCAGAGAATGGGTTTTGTCCTGTAAAGCTCTTACTAGCCTAGGAATGAATGGGTAGCCGGTGTAATGTAGTGGTCAAGTTCAGTCAATCAAACAGACTTGCAGGTTTGTCAGTTGCAGTGGCTCTACAAAAACTAAACTACAAAAACTAAAACTACAGCAGTGTTTCTTGGCCACTTGAAGATGTGTGGACTTCAGCTCCCAGAATTCCCCGGTCAGCATGGCTGGCTGGGAAATTCTGGGAGCTGAAGTCCACACATCTTCAAGTGGCCAAGGATGAGAAACACTGCTCTAGAACCAAGGACTAGGACTAGGGAGGCAGAGTTTCAGTTCCATCCTCAACCATGGAAGCTTATTGTTGGTGACTTTGGGTCTTTAATTCAGCTATCCCTTCCCATAAAGTGGTGATCGTGGGGAAAGACAAGAGAAGGAATGTGATTTTGGTTACCCTGTACTCATGGATGAAGAGTGGCAGAGCGATTTAGTACTGAGGATGATGCAGACACAAGAAACTGACTGAATTACATTGGAAATGGAATCTTTATTCCACTCAAATAAAGATTCTTGTGTGCTGGATGTGTTAGGCCACTTATGTGAGTGTAAACTCCATTGAATACTGAAACTCTTACGTCTCCAAAAACGTGTCTAGATGGGTAAATACCAATGGGATTGTCTGGAAGCTAAACAATGCGATCTATCCATGTGTCTTATTTACAAGTAACTTGCTATAGGTTTTGCATTCTAAGATTAACTTCTGGATATCTTGTCAGAAGCTGCAGATCTGAGGCAAAGGAAGAATCCAAGCTGTACTGAAGTTGAAGAAAAAGCTCTCAAAGAAAACGACGAAAAAGGGAAAAAATCCAAAAGATCTCTAAGATGTGAGTTATATCATTTTTCTGTCACTGTTTCAATTCCATATATATTTGCTTTAAAAAAGTTAAGTATACAAATATATTTTTCTGTGTGGAATGAATAAGAAATCTTTATTCTGGAAAAAGATTTCAGCTAGAATGTGCCATATATTTATTCCACTTTGTACACAAACCTGTAGAAAGTGATCAACCTGCAAAGCCTTTTACCAGCCAGCTATGAGGCTAGGAATCTATATTTTGCAGTCAGCACAGAATGATAAACTACTAGCCTTTTGGGCAAATTATTATTGTTTTTTTTTTAATCCACTAAGAAGAACCATAGAAGAGGAAAGATCACTTGTCCTGTCTCTGGCAGCCTTGCAGAAATGGAGTTCCTGGTCTTTTGTGCTGAACTGGATAATAGCTAAAGTACTCTATGTATTTTGTGTGTAGCAATTCAAATTTTTTTTCTCCTTTTTCAAAAAAAACTATCAACAATCTTTGTTGTTGGAATACAGGTAGTTCTTGCTTAACGACGGAAATTGGGACCAGAATTTCCATTGCTAAGCGATGCGATCGTAAAGTGTGGCATCCCATGACCGTACCACTTAGCGAGGGCAGTTCCAGCAGTCCCTGCTTACTGTCGTTAAGTGAATCACCACAGATCATTAAGCGAGGACCTCACGTGATCACAACTTCCTGCCAGCTTCCCCACTGATTTTGTTTATGGGAAGCTGACAGGGAAAGTTGCAAATCACAATCGTGTGATTGCTGGACACTGTGATGGTCAGAAATCCAGGCCTGTTGCTGAGCACCCGGATTGTGACCATGGGGGCACTGTGATGGCTGGAACTTCTAGGACTGATTCTAGGACTGAACTTCTAGGCTGTTGAGAACACCTGAATGTTAGAATGGTTGCTGAACGAATGATTGTTAAACGGCAGTTCCAAGTTATGGTGGCCTGGGAAAAAGTGCTTTATGATCTGTATTCGCGCTTATGACCATCACAAACCGTCCCACACACCCCGCAGTCACATGATCACAATTCGCAACCTTTTTTACAATGGTTGTAAAGCAAATCACTGCAGTCATTAAGTGAATCACGTGGTCATTAAGCTAATCACATGGTTGTTAATTCATTCCAGCAAAAAAGTCCATTGGGGAAGCTGAATTTGCTTAACGACCATGTGATTTGCTTAACAACCACATGATTCACTTAACAATTGTGGTGATTTGCTTTACAACCATCGTAAAAATGGTCATAAAATTGGGTCTGGTCACATGGTGACTCACTTAACAACCAATTTTCCAGTCCCTATTGTGGTTGTTAAGCAAGGACTACCTATAGTCTCTGGTCTGGAACAGACTATAAAAATAATTAATAGTTTTCTTCTGCTCAGAATCAAGTCCCTTCGTCCTTTCTGTTTTCCTCTGATGCTAGGGCTTCATTATACTCATTGGCATGTAATCTGTAGATTCTCCCACAGTGTTTGTTTGGTACAGGCCGTTGAGAACACCTGAATCCATTTTATTTACCTGACACAGCTTAAACATGAATTAAAGAATCAAATCTTTAAAAAAAAACCCCAAGGCTTCTAAATTGATTGATATGCTATGCACAAATGCCTAGCAATTTAGGTTAAACACAGATCATTTAAACAGAGACAGCTGTGGGTGTACAGCAAGTTACTACTATGTAAAATGCAAGCAAGCTGCGCACTTTGATTCTGTAGCAAGATATGAATGGAGATTAAGTTTTTACAGATGTCTGCTTTTAAGGAATGTGCCTTGATTTCCATGTGCCCTGAGTTTGTTTATTTCACTATTCAGACAAATAAACAATCTTGTTTGATTTGAGACAACTAAACACATACATGAAATACTGAAATAGGCTAACTTAAAACCTAATTTGCACAACTGTTTGTTATTTGAAGTCTGTAACATCAAATTATAATCTGTGTGGGTTCATGAATGTCCATGGAGCAAACTCTAAATATTTTGTTTGTTTGCTTATAAGTTTTATGTAAATCCCAAAGGATGCTAGATGGTATATAAAATACAAAACATAACAACAATAATAACATTATAATTCAAAACCATATTAGTGCGCTGATGTCTGTACATGATCTATTTCTGAAGACCTTCTGAAAAAGTGATGTTTTCACTCTCTTTCAGATGGCTAGAAGAGTGGGAGCCATCCTCACCCCGGGGGTCAAGGTGCTCCATAGGAGGGAGTCCACACATAAAATGCCTGCAGTTGAGTCCCCTCCTATCACACCTCAGGATAGGAGAGATTTTTAGCAGTCACTCCCTGATCACCCAGGTCCCTGGGTTGGGTGGACAGAATTTATCATGGAAAGGCAGTCTCTTAGATACCAGGACCTGAACCATATAAGGCTTTATAGGTAACAATCAACACCTCAAACTGCCCTTGGAAACACCAGGGGCTATGCAGGTCCTGCAGCAGTGGTGTAACCTGGCAATGTGTAGCCTGCCCAGTAAGCGTACAGCCCGCTGCGTTTTGGATCAGTTGAAGTTTCCAGACGGTCTTCAAAGGGAGCCCATATAGAGTAAATTACAGTGCAGTAATTCAGTTGCTAGATGACAAGAGCATGAGTGACTGTTCTCAGTGCATCCTCTTTCTAGTAAAGCCACAACTGGCACACTAGCCAGGGCTGGGCTAAAGCTTTCCTGGTCACAGCTTTCATCTGCTCTACCAGAAAGAATCCCAAGTTGCGGGTCTGCTGTTCTCAGGGAAACACAAATTTGTCAAGACTCAAAGTTGCTACTATCCTGGAATCATTAGGCACTCCATGTTGCTTGGATTGTTCTGTCTGGCCCTTGCCAGTCTAAAAGGCAGACCAGACCAAGAAATAGACTCCACAGAAGACTAAAAACTACTTTTATTTAGGTTGGCTATAGTAACATACTCTTGAAGCAGTGTTTCTTTTTTGTTGCTTTGGTAATGGATCTTCCCTCTCTCCGTCAAGGTCATCCTCTCTGCTCTCTACATCGGGTCAGGACTTCCACCGTATCCTCCATTCTTGTGCCTACAGATCTTGGTGTTGTAATTTCTGGTGTTTTGTATTTATGAACTGGTTGGACATTACCCCTGTGCTGCCACCCACTTACTGTGTTGCAGAGGGACTTGACAAGCATCGGGCATTTGACTTGGCATGAAAACATGGATTTTCAGTGGCTTTACGTGATGTTTATCATATTTCTTTACAGATGTCTTAATTCCACGTTTTACAAAGCTTTTCTTTGGCTGTGTTACAGCAGTCATAAGTGGAATGATGTATGCCATATACCTTTCAACATACCACGAACGCAAATTCTGGTTCTCTGGTAGACCGGTAAGGAATCTAAAACAGTACTGAAATAAAGTCTGTTATTTAATGCAAGCACAAGGCTGGCTCATGTATAAACAGATGTGGCACTTCCTGTAATGTCTAGGCAGTCTGACAAAGTATACTTAACCTGGCCATTGGTCATGGATGATGAGGGACCTAATCCGAAGCATCTGGGAAGCCATGATTGCCTACCCCCACTCTAGACTCAAGGTGGAACAATAAGCTGCGCAGAGTGGGCTTCTTAGGTTTTCTTATTACTTTCCAGAATGTAACCCATCCTTAATTATTTTTCTACGAAAGGGTTAACTTCCTTTTTTCACTTCAGTTCACCATGAATTTATGGTGTCTATCCTGCTTTTCTTGGCATTCTCCTAGTGAAGCGCGCTCTCTCTCACACACACATATACACACACATCCCAGATGCCCATTTTCGGCCTTTAAATGATCCTCTGGAACCTGTTGAGTGTCCTGAGAACTGTTAAGAAATAACAGAGCTCTTCCAATACAGGCCAGTTAATATCTCAGGAAGCTGAGGCCGTAGCTCCAGAGAGCTCTGGTCAGTGTGTAAAAGGAACCCATTTGAGGACTGAAATCTCAGCTTTTAAGTATCTGAAGAAGCAGAGTTGGAAAACATCTCCCTAAAGCTTTTTAGAGCTGCTTCTAGTCTGAGTAACTTGATAGGCCATAATACCAGATGAAAAAAGGCAGCTCCAGAGGTGTCATTGATAGCATACAAACATTCCCATTATTGTAAGCTAGTTGCTATGTCCTTATATATGTATGTGTGTATATATATGTACATGTATATGTATTATGTAGCTGTATCCCTGAGCTATCTAGGTATCTTTCATAAATAGAAATAGCAAGGTCATATTTTCCCATCATTCCTTGCAAATATAACCCATCTAAAAGTATCAAAGAGGAGTAGGTAACTTGTGGGTGGATGGGGAACATATATTTTTTAAAAATAAAATTTGGTGCTCAAAGATCACCATGGGCAGAGTCCTCTTTCAACAGCATCATGAGAGTGGGCGAAACTTGCATTTGGGAGCTATTTCGTGTGCTGGGTTAGTTGATTCTTCAAAAACGTTATTTGATGTTTTAAGCGAAACTGATGGCCTCTTTTTCTTTTTTTCATTGTCCCTCTGAAAATTTTAAGGAAATTTGTGAGGTGGTAGATTGTTCGGTTTTGATAACATAGTCTCTGTGTTCTGCGAAAGGGGTCTGTGGATTTGTGTTGTCCCTGGCTTACCATTCCTGTCATTTTTTTTTCTTTTAGGAACTTGAACGAGAGATCACATTTCAGGGTGACAGTGCCATTTACTATTCATTTTACAAAGAATTGTTAAAAGCCTCCTCTTTTAAAAAAGGTAAGGCAAATAACATTTGCTAAATGGTAACTGAAGGGAAATCAAGACAGTATGTATTATCTTCTTGGGCTGAAAACGTGCAAATTTGCAAGCTATACAGAACCCTGGGACAGATTGAATGCAAAGTTATGTAACTCCAAATCTGCACATGTGCTTTAATGCAGTCAGGGTTGACAAAGCTTTTCTCTACCTAATTTATCCCTTGTTCCCTAGGATCTCATTTGTAATCTTATTGTTCCAATCATTTATGAAAACCTAGCCCATGGTTTAGACCAGCGATAGTGAATCTTTTGGGCTCAGCATGTCAAAAATGTGGAAAATGCCTAACTTGACTCTGCTGGCGTGTCACCCCCCTGCCAAACAAAGGAGAAACAACTCTTTACATATTCATTTATTTTAAAAAAAATACAGTCCAATCATGTGTGGTGCTAGTATTATATAAAGAAATGTCAAATAATCACAAAATGAAATACAAGTAAAACAAACTCAGTTTCTTTGGTAACTCAAACAGGGAGAATACTTGTTGTCAGGTGTTGGTGAATGCTGGCGTGTCACCCAAAACGTTGCGGTGTGTCACCTTTGACACATGTGTCATAGGTTTGCCATCACTGATTTAGACTAAAGAGAGATGAATCAAATCTGGATGATGTTCTAGAGGAGCCCATGTGAATCACTATGAGATGATTCAGATGGGCTCTTAAGAGAAGAAAAGAAAAAGAAAAAATAAGATCATATTAGGAGCAATTAGGGGCACTTAAGTTTTACTAAAAGCATTGAAATTTAAAAGCATAACTATTATTCATGATATTTATATGTCCCCTTTTCTCCAGGAGTTCAAGGCAGCCTATATAGCACTCTCATAACCACTATAAAGTAGGTTGGACTGGCTCAGTCATCCAGTAAGTTTCCCATAGCTGATGTTGGCTTGAGCCTTGGTCTCCCCAGTCCTAGTCCAACATCCTAATCACTCCATCACATTGGCTCCCAGTAGACAATTTCTTTAGATTGTACTGCCTCCTTAGTCTAGTGCCAGACTTAATGCTGAACATCAAGAGCTAGACTTCAGAGCAGACATAATGAAGTTTGTCCCAGGGAGTGGTGGGCTTTGGTGCATGAGAGATAGGACATAGCTTTCTATCAAATTGCCATCATCATGGGGTGCAGATTTTCTTCTCAAACAAGCTTTAGAAGGAATCTGATTGAATAATCTACTTTCGGAAACAAGCAAGAATAGGTTATCTCCAGTAAATCAGTCAAATATCTTTTATATTCCTCCTGAATTTTATGAGATGGCATCTAGGAGCTTTCTGTGGTGCGTGATGGTGATAGACATTTTTCAAAGTAGTCTTTACAGGGTAGCACAGGCAAATATGGTCATGGCACAAGACAAAGGTATCTGTGGGGCAACTCATCTCCAACAGTTTCTGCCCATCCCACTACGTCTGACAGAGTGGGCATGCTTTGAGTCCCTTCTATGAAACCATGTTATCTGATGAGATCTGTTGGGGCACCTCCCCTATCAAACACTGTTTCCCCCCAGATCCAGATGGCCCTGGCCCTGTTGACTTTCCACTGGCTGTTCTGTGTTGAGAGGTTTTTGAGCGAGACCGCAATGCCTTTGTACTATCCTGATGGTTGTCGTAATCATTTGTTTGTTTGTTTTTATCATTGGGGTTAGCCACCTAGAGTCATTTGTTGAGATGGACAGCCATATACATCTTTCAGATATAAATAAATAAATAATCTGGACAGTGTTTGTTTTGCTGGATGCAACTGTTTGTATAATAATAGAGAACATTTATATCCTTGCCTCCTTAATTCTCAGGCATTTATCAGCTTATTCACGACAACAGGACACTGTCACTGAAGACAATGAATACTGTACGACAGATGACTTTGTATCCAGAATTGATCGCCAGCATTTTATATCAGGCATCCGGCAGTGAAGTATGCATGTTTTCCTTTTCGTTTATAATCTTATGTGATAGGGCCAGGAAAGTCTGCTGCCTAAAAGAAATGGGCTTGCTTTATTTCAGAGTATTATTTGAACACCTGGAGGCCAGGTGAAAACAATACGAGCTGTTGGGGGACCACTATACTTTGCACTGAGAGTACTCCATCTGCTTAGAAAAAATGCAGCTTGCTCCAGTGTGACTCCTCCTGTACCCACTTAGTTAAGAAAGTAAAAAAGTGTAGCAGGCTGATAGTGCTGGGATCACACAATATGCTGAACCCTAAGCTCAAATTAAAAAAAACACAACCCCCATGTTCACGTAACATGCTGTGGCCACTTATGAGTTATATTATGACTTAACATGGTTTGATTCATACAACATGTAAAGATAATAGTTGGGTATGTTGGACCACCAGATAGACCTGACCAAGAATCAGTTCCACAGGGATGCTAAAACGACTTGTATTGAAATTGGCTATAATAACAGAATCCTGCAATCTGGTTGTGCTGTACCCCCTCCCCTTCTTATACTCATGTTTATTAGTGTGGTGGATAGCAACAGGGAGCAAGGCTATCAGGAAGGAGGGGGTGCATTCCAGGAAGGGAAAGGAGACAAAAGACAACACAGTCCAGAGATGCAGCATGGGAAGCATAAGAGGTTCAAGATAGCCACTCCCTAGAATCTCCCAGGGTATATCCAGTAGTTGCAGTAGTACAGATTGAGTGTGGCAAGATTCTGTCTATATGGTGTAAGCCAGTGTTGTCCAAACTTGGCCACTTTAAGATTCCCCATGCTGGCTGGGGAATTCTGGGAGTTGAAGGTCACTCATCTTAAAGTGGCCAAGATTGGACAACACTGGTGTAAGCAAATAAAGGAACTTAACTCAACTGGACTGTTTCACCACATTTTTGGGCTGGGCCTGACAATTAGGCAGGTGTCTGTCTGAGCCTCTTCCACATATTTTCTGTTTGGTTTGGACTTAAGATACGTTTTTCCCCTCGTCACTGTGGTAATGAATCTTGCCTATTTCCATCAAGGTCATCTTCCTTACTCTCCACAGGAACCCACAACATGCCAAACCCATTTTAGGATAATGTAGCATGTTGGGCAATCCCGGTCTTAGGGTAGCAAGAATATTGAGTCAGCCCATAGAAAAGGTAAAACGTTGGGGCTTTGAGCCAACACATTCTGTCTTCATATCTCGGCTTTATCATGAATTCATTAGCTAATCTTTGTCAAGCCACTCTTTTGTTAACTTCATTCCATTCCCTGACTGGCAATGATGGATAATGCTAGCCTATTTAAATTGTGTGGTAAAAAAAGGGCATATGTATTTCTTGAATGAATAAATGTTTGGAAAATGCCAAGACACCCAATTAAACAAATACCTCCTCCTGTGTTTTTATCTACAAGAGCATTTTTTAGCAAATAAGATGATGATTATCGTTTCGTTTGTGTATGCCTTCCCATGTCCTCCATTTTCAAAGTTTAAGCAAAATGTAGTATCCAAAAAGTTAATCAAAATTATTTATGTATATGTTTATTTACTTTATTTGTGTGCCACCCCTTCCCAAAAGCTCTTAGTGGCTAAGAGTCAGAAGCATTACATAAAATAAAACAACCTCCTTCTTATTTATCTTATTACTGAATTATTTTATGTATACTATGCCAGAATAGCAAGTCTGAGCACAAACTTGCTGATCAAGAATGACCTATCATAGAAGTCTCTTAAGTACTAAGGTAGTGTTTCTCAACCTCAGGAACTTTAAGACGTGTGGACTTCAACTCCCAGCATGCTGGCTGGGGAATTCTGGGAG